CTGTCACCTCCACTGTCAGGGCCGTATCATCCCAGGTAGGGTAGATTTCTTCATTCCTTCCCCCGCTTTGTTGGAAAAAAACTTAAGGCAGCTGAAACTCTGCATGGCAGGCTTGGGATAAGGACAGGAAGCATGGAGGCTGGAGTCAGGGCCCTTCTGCATGGTCACAAGGGCTTTCTAGAAAGTTCTGTCTGGCCCTATGGAAGTAGAGTTTTCCACAAATATTTGTTGAAGGGTTTAAGAGACTGTTCAGGTCTCAGACCACTGTGCCAATCTCAGTATCACCCCTTTCCCGCTGGCACCAGAGAATCAGAGGACAACGCACCTAGGGGCCTCTGATCTGGAGGTCAGTGCCCTTGTTTTAGAGAAGAGTCAACCAAGGCCCAGAGGTCAAGGCAGATAGCCCCGAGGTGCACACCCCCTCTCCCCAGTATTCATTGCTAAATAGTCACTGTAGCACATTCACTCAAGAACACAGTCAAAAGCCCTAGCTCTGGGGAGTCTGGGTGGCTCAGTCAGTTAAGCATCCAACTCTTGATTTCGGCTCAGGTCATGATCTCACAGTTCGTGAGATCGAGCCCTGCATGGGGCTCTGCACTGACAGCATGGAGACTGCTTGGGATTCTCTCTCTCTCCCTCTCTCTGCCCTCTTCCGCTCACTCTTTCTCTAGAAAATAAACTTAAAAAAAAAAGGGAGAGAGAGACCCCAGTCCAGTGCTCCTGCCCACGTCTGTAGCCATGTCACAGAGGAATCTTAGCCCCAGGGCACTAACTCCCAAGACTAGAACCATCAGCGACCCCACATTCCTTCTAGACCTCCTAGGCCCAGCAGCCTTCTTTCAGCTGTTAACATCACCTTGCCTGGCAAGGTATACTCAGCATAGCACCCTCGTCACACAGCTGGCAAGCAGTGGGGCCTGGATCTCACCTGGGACCTGCCTGACTAAGGATACTGGGCTCTTCCTATTGGGCCAGGCCATTGCCTGATAGTCACCACTGCAATACAGAGTAGTCAGTGTCAAGTTCAAGAGAGAGGGGCTACTGTTTTGCAGGGCTCATGTTGGATTGGTTAAATCAGGGAGAGGTTCCTGGAAACAGCAGGAACAGGGTTCTGATGGCCTGGGAGGATCTGGCAGGAGGATCTGGCAGGAAGAAACAGGAGAGAGAAGCAATTTTGATAGAGGCAGGAGGGCCAAGGTATGTCTGAGGAACAGCACAGAGCTTCTTTGACTAAAACGAAAGTGTGTGGAGGGGAGGAGCGGCAGTGAAGGCCCCAAAGGATGCTGGAATGAGATAGGCCTTGGCCTTGAATGCAAGTCAGTGAGATTGAGCTGATGCCTGAAGGAACTAGGGAGCCACTGCAGAATCTTGAACAGGGGAACAACATAACTAGCAGGGAGAGAGAATTGCTGGACAGGGGTAGGGGGATAGAGAAAAGGTAGGGATGTGGAGGAGGGGTTCTCTCTTAGTAACCAGCTCAGAGGAATTTACCAGATTATTATTCTAGGATTTATATTATCAGATTAACTAGTCCTTCCACAGTGGGCCAGAGATAGGTAAGTTTCAGTGGAGGAAGGAGAAGCAGGTAGCCACAGGACTTGGAAAAAGCAGACTGGAAGAAGGGTACTTCACTTAGGCCTTTATTGTAGGTAACTCCAGATTCCTGAGGGTTTGTTGGGGGCTGAGGGTGATTTCCTGCTGTGTAAACGTTTTCCTGGGTAGCCTATGCAGGTAACTCCGAGGCTAGTCCACACCCCAGCCTATGGGTGCCTGGAAGCATAGGGCCCAGAAGCCAGAGACTTGGGTGCAAGTCCTAAATTTGCACATATTCTTACAGGATCACTTCTCTCCCTAGGTTCCTCAATAAATCACCTGACTCAGAGGGTCACCATAGGCTTAAATGAAAAGCTAGATCTGAAAGTGCCTTCTAAACTGTAAAGTGCTGTAAAGGGGCTATTCTACTATTTTCCTTTGAATGGGTCCTACATCTTGTCCCTGGGAGGGTCTTATATAAGGATTTGAGCCACAAGTCCAACAAGGAAGGCAGCCTTGTCCTGCCCTAAGCCAGAAGGCGATGGTTCTTTCTTTAACTAGGGCAGAACAGCTGGGACAACCTGAAAACTCCTCCCAGAGGTGGGAGTTGGGGGCTTCTCAGTCACAGAGCTGAATCTGAGACCCTCAGCTCTGCACCCTGTAGCAGACCCTCATGGTAGGGGGCCTTGTCAGGTGCAGAGCAGAGTCCTCCCAGGTGTCTTTAACAGGCCTGCTGTAGCCGGCCTCTGCCTTCTAACTGGGATCCTCCTGCTTCCTACTCTCCTGGAGACCGGAGCGTAGAGTTGGCGGGAACCATCTCTGAGAGGTGGGATGCCCACAAGCTCCTGGGCCTAGCTCTGCAGGCACTAAGTGGTGGTTTTCCATGTGCCAGGCACCGGGCAGAGTTCTCCACATCTGTCACGCCACTAACGATTTGGGGTCGTGCTCTCTCTGGGCTTCAGTTTCCACAGCTGTCAAGTGAGGTGAGCTGCCTGATCCCTGAATGATCTGTGCTTAGGTCTTCTTCCCTGGGCTCCCTCAGCACCGGGCTCCATGCCTATTGGAGCATTTCTCACTTTCATTCATTCAGCATACATTTATTGAACAGCTCCTGTGTATAGGATGCTCTGCTGAGGGTAGGGGGCTTGTGGGGGTTCAGAGATGAGTAAGCCAGGACGGTGTGCCCAAGGACCTCACGGTGTAGCAGGGCCGATGCTACTAAGCAGGGCCACACTGTGGTGCGGCCGGTCCCTCCTGCCTATTCTTCCTCTCCCCTTCTCTCTGGCAGGAGCCATGCTTCCCATCAACCACCCGAACTTTGCTTACGCCATTGTGCCAGCATGGATTTCCTTTCTATTTCCTCCCTACCCCATATTTTAGGGTGCAGCTCCAATGTCTCTCCCTCCACAAAGCCTTCTAGGATTCTTACAACCCAAAGCAAATTCTCCTCCTTAACCTCCCAGGCACTTGTTCTGTTTGGAACATTTATCTCGCTCCTATATTCTAGGTGATGGTGCCTATATCTTATCTTTGGGAGGCAAGATGGTGTCTGATTCATTTCAGAATAGTGCCTAGGGCCTGGCACACAGTAGGAGGAAAGAATGGTCCAGGGTATGTGAGCAGCTGCTACCACAGAGGTAGGAAGAGAGTATATAGTGTGTGTGTTATGGGGGGGGGGGAGGCAGGAGGGGGCAGACAGAGGGAGGAGGCTGTTGAGCACAGAAAGGAGGAAAGGGCTTCATTGTATGAGGAAGGGGCTGTCAGACATGGCAAGACAGTCAGATGGCACTGAAGCATCCATCACACAAGTCAGACTCGTAATTATAGGAACCCAGAGCTCTGGCCCTTGGGCAGAAGCAGGGGAAGCAGATAAGCTGATAGCAGGCCTGCTTTCATTGAGCGGTGGCTTTACTGTGGCTTCCTCCATGTCCACCCTACATCCCCACCAGAGGCCAAAGCCTGGCCAGGCAGGCGGCAAAGGGAGGTGTGCAGGGCAGACTAGGGAGTGGTCACAGAGGCAACCCCTTTGTTAGGCACTTGAGTGCATAAGGCACAGAGTGACTTATATACGTTAGCTCCCTTGATGCTCTCAAGCTGACTTGAAATCCAGATCATCACCTCCATGTCATGAATGAAGAAGCTTGGGTGCACAGAGGTGAAGTCGCTTGCTGAAGTCTGACAGACAGAAGTGGAGGATTTAGGATTCAAACCCAGGACTTCTGATTCCCAGAGAGGAAGCACTCCTCTCTGCCTGCTGAGGAGCAGCTCTTGGAGAGCTGGGAAGGTCAGAAGCAGAGGTCAGGGCCCTGGGTTGGGAGACCTGGTCTGTGGTTCCTTGTTCCCTAGGCCTGCCTGCCTCACAGGTGGAGGGAAAAGTCTGTCAACACTGAGAGGCCCCAAGCTGGTTGGCAGCAGTGGTCCAAAACCAATGGCAAAGGGAAAGAGGGCAGGGGCTCCAGAGAGAAATGGCCAATACCATTGTTCATCACAGGGCGATGTCTAGGTTTCAGGACTTGGCCCTCCACAGCGGCACCAGGCAAGCTCTCCACCATCTGGGGCAGTGAGGTTCTGCCCTATGGGGTCTGATTGCAGGAGAGGTCATTAGATAGCACCTAGATGGGGAAACTGAGGCCCAGAGAGTCAGGTGTCTCGTCCAAGGTCACAGGGGAGCTAAGGATAAATTTGAGACCAGAACCCAGATTTCCTGACCCTCTAATGTCCACTGACCTCGGCCCGGGTGGGGCACCCCTGGTCGCCTCCTGCCAGGGTCTCCGACTTCAGGAGGATAGAGGGCAACGCGCCAGAGGCTCCCGCGCCCAGCGCATCCCTCCCTACTCCACCCCTCGGGATCCTTTAAGAGGCGGGGCTTGGCGGCCAGCCCCGAGGCCCGGGCAAAAGGCTGGGACTTTACTCCGGCGGCAGAGAGCGACCCGTGCTCCATCAGCTGCCGCAACCGCCGCGCCCGCGCCCGAGCCACGATGAGCGGCAGAGTCGGCGATCTGAGCCCCAAGCAGAAGGAGGCGCTGGCCAAGGTGAGTCCTCATCCTGGCCCGGCCCCCGCCCCCCGGCCCGGGGCCTCACCTTCCGGCAGCTGAGAGCTGGGAAGGAACTGGGCGGGGGGCGAGCGACGGTGCGGGACCGGCGGGAGGCTGGCGGAGCTGCGGCCGGCAGCACCTGGCGCCTCGCGCCCCTCTCCCCGAGGCCTGCCCCTCCCTCCCCCCGCCCGCCGAGGAGGCCCCGGGGAAGTTTGGCCACCCCAGCCTCAGCCCCGACCGAGACCTTGGCGGTGCCACCTGGGAAGAAGTGGTTGCTTGGAAGCCCCCGGAGGTAGCTAAGGGCACAAAGGCAATATTCATTCACAAGACTGGCAGCCGGGCCCTGGGGGCTGGGGCAGGGCCCCAGGTTTCCTTCCATTTCCGGGAGGTTTTCCTCTTACGGGGCAGCGGCACCCTGAACAGGGCCCTGACAGCTCTTGAGGATACTTGGAGAGCCCTTTCTGGGGCATCAAGTCTCTCTGCCGACCTTGGGCAAAACCCGTCCTTCTCTGTGTGCTCCTTGATGAGACGAAGTGAGGGGTTGGACCCGATGATGTTGAAGGGAGCACCCTCATGTGAAGGCTGGAATCCTATCAGCGACTCACTGGGTTGAGGTTAGTTTGAGCTCAGACCAGCCCTCCCTTGTCCTGCAATCCAGGCCCCTCCCTGGGACTGGGGCAGATGCTCTTCAGAAGGCTAGAAGGTAAGCCTGGCTTTGCCTTGGCGCCTGGGCAGAGGAGGGGGCAGCAGTTTGAAAGCTGGACCCCCTCTCCACCAACTGAATCTACTTTTTGTTGCCCTTGAGGAGAGGGGAGGTTGGCTGTTCTGAGAGCCAGAACCCATTGGGTCCGGTCTGAAGGTTTGGAATCTTCACAGCTGAGCAGTTTTCCATCGCTGGACAGGGGGTGGGGGGCCAGATGTCTCCTGCCATGGCAGTGGGCTGAGGCACCAACCCCATGAAGGCTCTGCCCCAGGCTGGGCCTCCCCCATCCCAGGGAGGCTGGATAGGGAGGTTTCAGGTTTTACTGCTGACCTGCAGGGGAAGTCAGGCAGAGGAGGGATTAGGTGGCGATTAAACTGGAAACCAGGGGCTGGGTAGGGTCCTTGGTGAGGGGTGGCTTCATGCCTGGGCCCTGGATGAGCAGTTCCTCTGGGAGTCTGGGAGTCTGGGGGATGGGATGGGATGGTTCAAGTCCCTGGCTGACCTAGGCAAGGGGTGGAGGTGGCAGGTCCTCATTGGTCCCCTCTGGGCTGTCCTGTAAGGTCAGTGAGTAGGGAAAGGTGAGTGGCCAGGAGCAGGAGGCATGGGGAGAGCACGTGGGGGTGTGCTCACCTACTTGGAGGTGGATGTCCACATCCCTTGTTTGGCACTCCCTGCACTTTCCCCCTTCATGGCTTCCTGTTGGAACTGTTCCCTCCACCTGGATTGCCCTCCTCCCTCCTCCTGCTGCCTTTGAAGTCCTTCTAGCCCAATGCATATGCCATTTTTCTGAAGTCATGTGAGACCACTGTCTTCCTGGGCTGGTCATAATCAAATTTTCTCTTCCTCTGCTCCCCCAGCACATTGCTCACCAGTCCATTACTAAAGGGCAGAAGACTACAGTGGCAAGAGTGTGCTGTCTGGCCTCGGACAGACCTGGGTTTGCATCCCAGCTCTGCTGATTACTAGCTGTTCAGCCTTGGGAATGTTACTTAGCCTCTCTGAGCTCTAATTTCTTCATCTGTAAAATAGGGACAGTGAAACCTCCAGGGACTCTGAGTGAGGCATGAATAAGATAAATGCCAAGTTCAGTGCTGGGCACACAGGGAACGCTTGGCAAACTGATAGCTTTTACTGTGGCATGTGCCAGAGTGTCTATGATCACAGCTGGGAACACATATGCCCACCTGCCACACTGGAGTGGAAGTGCACACAGCCAGGCAGAGGTAGTGTCTTACTTCCTTCCTGCCTCCTCCTTGCTATCCACTGAGGCAGCAGAGTGTACTATGCAGCCCATGTGCTCAGCCAGTGTCTACAAGTTGACCCGTATTGAAGAGAGGTCTAGCAAAGTCCCTGCGGAGAGCCCCCGGCAGAGGGTGGTTGGGGTGGGACCTGCCGCTCACCCTACTGCCTCTCCCTACAGTTTCGGGAGAATGTCCAGGATGTGCTGCCCACTCTGCCAAATCCAGATGACTATTTTCTCCTGCGCTGGCTCCGAGGTGAGGGAATCGGGGCTGCGGGAGGCTGGGGCAGGGGCTTGTCCTGGGTAACAGAATGGTGCACTCTGGAAACCCTGCCCCTGGCAATCTGAGAATCTGGAGAATTCAACCTTTAGAACCCAAAGGGCTCTTGGCAATTGTATAAGCTAGATCCTCCTATTGGGTAGATAACAACCCTGAGGCTCAGAGAGGTGAAGTAACTTGCTCCAAGTCACACAGTGCTTGAATTACAGGCAGAGAGAAGACTAGAATTGGCGGGCTGACTCCCAGCCCAGTGCCCTTTCCATCCATTTGATAAATGCACTCTCCCGATGGACTTGGGGAAATGGGTTGAAGAAAAGCCTAGGAAGACCAAGCCACGTGAGTAGTCAGAGGCAGAGCCAAGTTTAGAACCAGAGTGCAGGCCCCTGGGAGAGGCTGGCCCCCTCTGTGACTTCTTGGGATGGCAAGCCACCTGCTGCCAGCAGTTTAGGCAGCTTGAAGGAGGGGCAGAGTGCACGGGGAACGTGGGAGCACTCAGCCAAACCTAGGTTGATAAGACTGCCCTCAGGCCACTACCAGGCTCCAGAGCCTCAAGTTCTAGCTCTAACTCTGCCCTGGTCTGGCTCTGGTGTGGGGGCCAGGGGCACACGTCTGCTTTAGGCTCCTCTCTGCTAGAACAGGACCAGACAGGGTGCCTTGCCTATTACAGGATGTAACATGACAGAACTCTGTGTGTGGTGATGAAATGTACATGTTTCTACTAGCTTCAGAGTCCAATTCAGCTCCATGCCCCAACTCCTGAAATCTCTCCTTTCTTTTTTCCCTTTTTTTCCTCCTGTGGTTCAAGGCATGTGCTACCCTCTCTGGTTCCTGTGACACACTTTTTTTTTCTTTATAGAAATTCTCTTAGCAGACACTGAAATAATAGAGAAAATTCCACTGTGTTAGATTGGCAGAGATTCAATTATGATGTAGAATCATAGCCCCAAATATTAAAGTACAAATCATGCCTGATTATTTATTTATAGACACAGACACACATGTACATACCTTAGGGGTCTTGGGACAGGTGAAAAGATGTATTTTCCTTTTCTGTCCAGAAAAGGTACTAGTATGTATCCTATGGCAGGTGCAGCCAGGGAAGGCACACGGAGCCCTGTGTGCCTCTGGAAGTGCCACTTGCCCTTTCCCCCAAAAAGAGCTGTGACCACCCCACCAGCACCACCATCAGCCCACTTGGATTGGGTGAAGGGGCGGAACGGGGGCTCAATGGCCTCAGTCCAGGGGTGGAGGATGTTTTGCCGAAGGGGCTTAGCTAGAAGTGGGCGGGTAGGCAGCGTGGGAAGAATGTGCTGCCTTAAAGAGCCAGCTGTAAGATGATCAAACACCCCACTGAGCTGCTGTTAGTTTCAAAGAGATGAACAAAATAACCCAGCTCTTTTATCTAAGAGAAGGCCACCTGGGCTCCTGGCACTTGGTTTCCCAGGCATTCCCAACTCCCCAGTCCTTGGATAACCCCTCTCTTTGCAGGCATACGGAAGAGTATAGTCATCCTCATTTGCCAGTTAAGACAACTGAGGCTCAGAGCGGGGAAGGCACTTACCTGAAGGCACACAGCTAATGAGAAGCAGAATCAGGGCAGAAACCTAGGGCCCCAGACTCCCAGGCCAGCAGTCTCTCTAGGAAGCCACAGCTGCCCTCTGAAGACAGGCTCTGCCTCTTCAGACAGAGGAAGTGTCTCCTCTGCCCTTTGTGCCTCACATTTCCTGGGCAGGAGCTCAGGCTGGGTCAGACTCTGCTATGAATTTCAATTACGGTTTTTGTTGCCTTTTTTTTTTTTTTTTTTTTTTTTTTTTTTTAAGGAAACATTTTCCCTCTTACCTTTGATTCTAAAGAAAACATTTTCAAGGCGCATGCCAGCAGAATGTCTTTCTCTAACCTAGGTGTGAACTCAGGCTTCTACTCTTGGCCCCTTCCCCTCACATGGGTTGAGTTTTCTGCTGGCCCCAAGCCCTGAGAGCAGGCACACGAATCTGTACTGCTTCAGTACAGGGTCAGGTGGCCAGATGAAAACGAGGAGGTGGTAGAAATATTGTGTGTGTGTGTGTGTGTGTGTGTGTGTGTGTGTGTGTGCATGCGCGTGCGTGCGGGGTGGGGGCAAAGGATGTCTGAGTCTTCTTCACTAGGACTAGGAAGTGATCAGATAAGAACCCAGGACAGCTGCTCCTGGACCAGCTTCTTTGGCAGTGCCCTAAGCCATGCTTTGAGCTGTCCCTGACTAGGGCAGCAGGAGCTCTGGAGAGGCCCGACTCAGCAGGCATGGGGAGGCAGTCAGGGCCAAGTGGCAACTTGTGGAGGGCCCTCAAAGAAGACGCTAGATGTTGGACTCTTGCAGATACCAGTTAACTGGAGAGCCACCTGGAGATAAGGGGGCTCACAGTTCACTACCACTCCTTCACAGATCAGCTGGGTTCCCCCATCATGAAAGCATGTTGCTTTGCATCTTTCATGTGTTTCCAGATCATTAGATGATTCAGTCAGAGATGTGCAGTATCTTGTGCAAGGTCAAACTGCGAAAAAGTGGAGGGGCAGAGAGGCAAACCCAGATTATATTCCTCTAAAAGCCGCCCCTTGCTGCCATGATGGCACGTAAAGGGTGGCCATCAGAAGAAACTTCCTAAGAGCAAAGGCTGTTCACCAGTGTGTGTCCAGCCCTAACGAGAGGAGTGGCATTGGTCAAATCTCTTGATATATCCTTTGGGTGCAGGAGCGTGGACTGGATTTCATGATAGCAGAGTCAGGGAATGTGCTCGGCCACTCCCAGAGATCAGTGATTAAGGTGACAGTCCAGAGGGCAGCCTGTCTGGCCCAGCTTCCAGGGCTGTCAGCAGTTCTAGATACCAATCAGATCCACAGAGGACATGCAGCTGGGAGGCAGAGTTCATAGGTCAGTTGGCAAAATTGGTAAGAGTCTGGATCTCAAAAACTCTTTAAAGGATCAAGTGAAGCTGATTGTAACAAGAGAAAATCTGATAGGGATGGGTCCAGAAAACCACCTCACAACATATGGGATGGAGGCTTCCCAACAGCACAGCTGAAAAGGATTTGGGGGTTTCCGTTGACTGTAAGCTCCATCTGAGTTAAGGGTGGGACTGTTGCCGAGAAATTTCTTAGGCTTTGTTGGAGAAGGGTGGACAACACCTGGTGCTGTGCTCAGTTATGGACAGCACACTTTATTTTATCATTTAAAAAAAATTTTTTTTAATGTTTATTTATCTTTGAGAGGCAGAGACAGAGACAGAGCATGAGCGGAGGAGGGGCAGAGAGAGAGGGAGACACAGACTCTAGGCTCTGAGCTGTCAGCACAGAGCCTGACGCAGGACTTGAACCCACAAACCACTAGATCATGACCTGAGCCGAAGTTAGATGCTCAACCAACTTAGCCACCCAGGTGTCCCTGGACAGCACACTTTAAGAAGGGCACTGGCCAATTGGGAAACATCTAAAGGGAAGTTCTGTAGATGGACTTGAAACTGGGCTGTGAGAAATGGTTAGAGAAAGGATCCATGGATGGGCAACATGATAGCCGAGAGGACTCAGGTGGCAGCACAGAGTTCACTAGTATTGAAGAGGCTGTCACGTGACTGAGGAAGCGACCCTATTTTCTGAGTGTCCTGGCGGCGGATCTCAGTGTAACAATGAGGACTGAGTGCAAATAGCAGTGCACATTACCTGGAAGGAGGTGGCATTTGGGGTAGTGAGGTCTTTGTGTTCAAGTTTGAGCAGAACGACTTGGGGCTGGAACATAAAATGAAGACTTGGCCCAGGTGAACGTGAATTCTGAAGTTTTCCAGGAACCATGGGAGGAGGGCCCTCTGTGTCTCATTAGGGTATGCATGGATCCTTTGAAGATAGGGCAAGGTTGACTCAGGCTCATCAACTCTATCCTACTGGGATGTTCTGCCAGATCCACCCCAGACTGTGGGGCAACTATGCTCATCTTTGAACTGTGGATCAAGTTCTCAGAACTGGATGTTAGACCATGAAGATTAACTTTGTGTAACTGGAGAGGCATAATGATAAAGGGGTCCAGGGTTTACTTTCCATGAGAGAAGATAAGATCTTTCACCTATTGCATCCACTAGGGTAAAATTCTTTTTTTTTTTTTAATTTTTTTTTAACGTTTATTTATTTTTGAGACAGAGAGAGACAAAGCATGAATGGGGGAGGGTCAGAGAGAGAGGGAGACACAGAATTCGAAACAGGCTCCAGGCTCTGAGCTGTCAGCACAGAGCCCGACACGGGGCTCGAACTCACGGAGTGCGAGATCATGACCTGAGCCGAAGTCAGACGCTTAACCAACTGAGCCACCCAGGCGCCCCGGGTAAAATTCTTTTAATCCTGAAGTTGCAAGGCTCTAGCCACCTGCCCTGATCCTTGACCTTCAGGGACTGTGGTGTTCCAGAAGCACCCAATGAAGGTCTTCATGTTACCTTCTGCTTGTGGGGTGATCTGGGAGTCAGCCCCTACGTGGGAATAGGGAAATCTCCCTGTCCTTGGATGCCCAGCCTGCTGGTCTAACCCTAACCACGTTTCCCTGTTACAGCTAGAAACTTTGACCTGCAGAAGTCCGAAGCCATGCTCCGGAAGGTGAGATCCATTTGGCTTCATATCCCGCTGTTGCCTCCATTCCTGCCTGTCAGAATCACACTGTGCTTCCTTTGCCCACCCTGCCCATCCAATCACAGCTTTTGGCTTGTGTGACATATCTGAGTATTAGCTGACCATTGTTACCTTATACCTCTGTGACAAAGTGCATTCCCCTCCTTGGAAACACAGAACTTCAATAGTTCTGGGCCAGCCAAGAATTATAATCCCTTCTTCCCAGACCTCTAAACCATGCAGTGTCTTCTTTTCCATTCCTGCCAGTTGCCTTCTCATGACGTACCTGAGATGTGATGGTGGCCTCTTCATACTGTCATCTATTGCTAGATACCCCTTAAGGGTTCCCCCCACTCCTGCTCTTTTAAAGCCCTGACTGTGTGTTTGCAGCACGTGGAGTTCCGAAAGCAAAAGGACATTGACAACATCATGAGCTGGCAGCCTCCAGAGGTGAGGACAAATGATCTTGCCCCATCCCTATGTTGGGTCTGTTAGACCCACAATCTGTGCCCGAATCTGGTGGACTGGGACCTTCAGAGGAAAGGTCTGACAATTCTAAGTGAGCCCCAGTGGTTCCCAGGGTGAGTTATCTATTGGCACCCAGGAGAAGGCTGTGGAGGGAGAGCTTGATGAACCCCTGGGAAGGCCCTGGGATACAGGGAAGGCACAACTGCCCTGGGCCTGCTGACCAGGTGCCTCCTCTATGTTTTTGCCCAGGTGGTCCAACAGTATCTGTCAGGGGGCATGTGTGGCTATGACCTGGATGGCTGCCCCGTCTGGTACGATGTCATTGGACCTCTGGATGCCAAGGGTCTGCTCCTCTCAGCCACCAAACAGGACTTGCTCAAGACCAAGATGCGGGACTGTGAGCGGCTTCTTCAGGAGTGTGTCCGCCAGACCGAAAAGGCAAGTGGGCTTAGCACGGTTGAAAATGAGTTCATCACAGTAGAGGTGTTCAAGCAGAAACAGGCATATCACACAGGGATTTAAGCACAGCTTCAGGACTGGGGCCCAGACGTTTGGATTTCACAGACGAGTGAAATTACAGAGTTTTGGGGACTAACATACGTTGCCAAATTTTTATTTTTCCAAGTAAGGACTTAAAAAGAAAATGTACCAGCTACTATTGCCATAATCAGCCCCCAAAACTATAGGAATGGCATAATCTCAGAATAAAGAGCAGTCCTTTAAATTGAAGAAATTTATTACATTATCATTGTTTTTCTCATTCATCTGGGCACCAGTAAAATCTTTGTCATGGACCAGCCTGTCCTCAGACAAGTGTTTGGGTACCGCTGGTGAGATGAGCTCAGAGTCTGTATTCAAAACAAAAAGGTGAGGACAGGTGATTCCCTCTCTAAGAAAAAGACTGAAGGGAGAGCTGGAGCCACACTGACCATCTCTTCTGCCTTCCTCTTCAGCTATCATAAGGATCCAGTGAAATGATGTGATAAATTTGGGAACACTCCAACACCATCATTCACAAACATGCACTGAGAGCCCAGTGTGTGCAGAGATCCTGCAGGCTGGGGACACAGAGAATCATTAGGTGGGCATGTACCCTTAAGGGCTTAAGTTGGATGGAGAGTCTCCGTGCCTGCTCACCAGAAAAGTTGCCCAACGAGGCCCCACGGACTGAACACTACCAGGTGCTGCACACAGAGGAAGGGGGGGCCACGAGGTCAAACTGCAGAACAGAAGGGACCTCAGAGAGAATCTAGATCCACCCAGTTGTTTACTGGACAAGAACAGGGACACCGAGGCAGGAAGAGTGACTAGCCTAGGCCACAATTCTGGCCTGGGGGTGATTATTTCAACATGGAAGGCCCTTGGTATGGCCCTGTCCAGATCTGGGCCCATGACCAAATCAGCAAGATGTGACTCTGCTCCTCTGTCCTCTGCAGATGGGGAAGAAGGTGGAGACAGTCACCCTGATTTATGACTGCGAGGGTCTTGGCCTCAAGCATCTCTGGAAGCCTGCGGTGGAGGCCTATGGAGAGGTGAGGAGCAGGGCTGGGAGGGGGCTGTGAGGAGGAGAAAAAGTAGGAGTGAGCCCCTCTTCTAGGATGCTCTGTGGGTGAGGTGATGGGGGCGGAGTTTAGCCTGAAGGAGGCGGGGCCTGCCTCCCTCCTGCCTCCCTGGTACAGAGGTCTGGGCCCTCTGGACTCCGTGATTTGTTTCCACAGTTTCTCTGCATGTTTGAGGAAAACTATCCTGAGACACTGAAGCGCCTTTTTGTTGTTAAAGGTAAGTTGAGGGGCACCTGGGTGGCTCAGTCAGTTAAGTGCCTGACTTCAGCCCGGGTCATGATCTCATGGTTTGTGGGTTCAAGCCCTGTGTCAGTCTCTGTGCTGACAGCTCAGAGCCTGGAGCCTGCTTCAGATTCTGAGTCTCCCTGTCTCTCTGCCCCTCCCCTCCTCATGCTTTGTCTCTCTCTGTCTCTCAAAAATAAATAAATGTTGAAAAAACAATTAAAAAAAAAAATAAAGGTAAGTTGGGAACTGTCTGTGATGAAGTCAAATGGGAAAGAGGGGCCCAAAATGTTACTGGGACAGGTCCAGGGGAGTAGGATGGGGTGAGGCAGAGGAGGGGATCTGGGGACCCCTGACATATGCAGACTGGGTTACAATTCACAAAGCTTTTAGGATTTATTACCTCCTTGGAGCCAGCCAGATGGGTGAGATAGGAAGGCAATACCCACTTTCTAGACAGGGAAGCTGGATGTCAAAGAGGTGCCTGTGCCAAGCCTCACACCCTGGGCTGTGTGGGCTCCACAGCACTGGGGAGCCTGTGGCCTGACACAAGGGACTGTGGAGGACACTGTTAGGGACAAAGTGAGCCTTGCTCCCGGTCTCACATTGCCTGGTCTCTGTTCCAGCCCCCAAGCTGTTTCCTGTGGCCTATAACCTCATCAAGCCCTTCCTGAGTGAGGACACTCGCAAGAAGATCATGGTCCTGGGGGGTGAGTAGCCCAGACTCTTCTCAATGCCACTGGATGCTCTGTGGGCCAAATTGGGGACAGCTTTAGATGTATCTAAGGTGAAGGCTTCCTTTGCTGGTTTGGTAGCAGTGAGACCCAGGAGCAAATAGGGGCCAGGCTAGGGTCTGCCTTTCTGTTTTAATAAGAACTCTTTCATTCAGACGCTCTAGAAGAAAGTACTGAGCTCAGCACTGTAGATGCAAAGATGAACAAAATACCAGTCTTGCCCTTAAGGAGCTTACAGGGTAATAGGAGAGAGAAGACCTTTAGAGAGAAAGCGATGAAAAGGTACTAGAAACAGCAGAGAGAAGGTGCATGGAGGAAACAGGAGCAGAGGTTGCTTTCAGTTAGGGGCAACTAGGAGTTGCTTCCTTTGATGAGCACCTACTGTGTGCCAGGCCCCCTGGATTAGGTGACAAAGATGAGTAAGACAGAATCCCTTGAAGAGCTCCAGGCCCTCTTGGGGAAGGGAGATGCAGACAACACATTACATGTAAAAGAGAGAAAGCAAGTGGGTGGGGACACTGAGCAGGGACACTCACCTTCTCCTGACCCAGGAAGGAGCAGATGCCTACCTCACCTGAGTGCTACAGAATGAGTTAAGAGGCAGCAAGACGATGCCAGGCAGGAACCTGTTGGGCAGAAAGAACAGCACTGAGGAAAGACCTTACACACCGTGGTTTAGGCAATTGTAGAGAGCACAGCAGGGTGTGACAAGAGAGGGGCCACACTGGAGAGGGGCCGAGAGCCAGGGCACAGAGAATCCAGGGCACCATGCCGAGAAGCCTGGACATGACTCTACAGGTCACTGGGAACCACGGAAGATTCTGAGCAGGGAAGGTACTGGCATCAGATTCTTAAATTAATTAATTAATTTTCTAGCCATTTTATTATTATTTTTAATGTTTATTTATTTATTTATTTATTTAAAAAAAATTTTTTTTTTCAACGTTTATTTATTTTTGGGACAGAGAGAGACAGAGCATGAACGGGGGAGGGGCAGAGAGAGAGGGAGACACAGAATCGGAAACAGGCTCCAGGCTCTGAGCTGTCAGCACAGAGCCCAACGCGGGGCTCGAACTCCCAGACC